GCTTCAGTGCCTGGCTGCCGGCTGCCATCTTGGCTGACAGTTAATTTGCATATACTCACTGATTAGCCAATGAAAAGGGTAGCGGTCGTACGCCAATTACCATGTTTCTCTTTTATTAGTGTAGATAAAATGGAGCTAACAACAAAACATGCTTACATGAAGTACTAATTTCCCATCTTTATCTGTTTCCAATCATAAATCAAGTAGTGTGTTATTGAAAGAGGTACAAATAGCCAAAGATAGAACTATTGTCTGATGGGGAGGGACTTATCTCCCCAAGTTACAACTTTTCTGTAATATTTAAAATTTTAAATATTTACACAACCATTATAACTTTGTAAACAAAAATCAAAGACTTCAAATATATATGCTACCTTGGACTTTAGAGTTAAATACTTAAGTCAAATCTCTCATATAGAAAGTCTGGGCAATCTAGTCTTGAATAATATGAATAACTAGCAAAGTTTCCCTATGTCTAAAGGCAATGTTCAACACCTTAGTTAAAAGTTTTTGAGAGCAGAAAAAATGCTCAATATGTGCCAAGTACAATGTGTGGTGCTGAGGATACGATGACAATAGAAACAGAATTGAATATATTCAAGAGCTATTTAGGAGGTAAAACAAAAGAAAAAAGATGCAGTTAACATATTGGACAGAGAGGCAGTGAAAGATAACAGTGTTAAGAAGTTGTGACTTGCACAGCTGGGTAAATGGTGGCACCAATTACTTCAGGTAAGAAATAATATAGTTGAGGAAAGTCACAAGTATCCTTCCTTCCCTCTTGAAATTAAGGTGTCAGAGCCATGTAAGGAGGAATGTTTAATAAACAGTTGCATACACGAAGCTGAAAATGTACTCCTTTTAACTCTTAGTTTTCAAAAAGAAATGTAAACAGAATGTAGTGAATTAAATTTTCTAATTGCAATGAGAAATGGATTTCATGGGCCTACCTTCAGCTTAGAGCAGTGGTTCTCAACATTCTGGCCCTTTAAATACAGTTCATGTTGTGACCCAACCATAAAATTATTTTCGTTGCTACTTCATAACTGTAATGTTGCCACTGTTATGAATCGTAATGTAAATATCTGATATGCAGGATGGTCTTAGGCGACCCCTGTAAAAGGATGGTCTTAGTTCGACTGCCAAAGGGGTCGCGACCCACAGGTTGAGAACCACTGGCTTAGAGCTTAATGTTCTCTTTTCTGATTACCTTTACTGCAGTACACTTGATAAGGTCTATTCTACCTAAAGGCAGATCATTGACTTCTTTTCTTTGGTCAGGGCAGTAAGTATTTGGAAAACAGGCTTACTCAAACCCTTTCCCAGATCTGGCAAACTAAAATATCCTTACTCATCACTCTTCGTGCATATTCCACCATGATTCTTGTGTTTAAAGGTTTACATTTGTATTACATGGCTCCAAAATACAGGCCAGTTACTGTATTCATGCTTCTAAAAAAAAAACTGTCCCAGTGTTGTAATAAAAACTAGCTGTACTGCATTGATTGACTATATGGCTTATTTTTTGTCTTTACACATCAACTTTAAAACTTAAACACTAAATTTTTTTAAACTGTGAAAGAATGTTAAATTTTAGGATTAAATGATTATTGTTAAAAATCTCATTTAGTTTTATTGCAGACTGGTCTTCGAGGTAAAGTAATACACGCCTTAAATACCACTAGGTACTTTAAAACCAAATTAAACTGACTTCATAGAAATATACTGGAAGGGAGGGCAGAAGAATGCATTTAAAAGAACTTACCTCAGAGAAACGATCAAAATTAGACATGTCTTCATCTGAATCATCTTCCCAGTCTTTCCAATTATTGAAGTCCACACTAAGCCAATTAAGCTATAGATCAATACAAACATCATCCTGTGATTAGGTTAACTTACACTCATTGGCATGTGCCTTAAGACTACATTTTTTTGAACTGTGGATTCATACCCACTAGTGAGCCATGGAATTAGCATAAATATAGTTTTATGAAACTCCTTTCAATTGTTAAACAAACTTACTTTTTAAAGCAACAACAAAAATTCATTGGTAGAAACTATGCTATACCTGGTTATTTTTTGTTTAGTGGCACCAAAATATGTGAGTCTGCCTCTTGAATGCAAAGACTCTCCATCAACTAAAGATTGATCTTGTTCTGACCTCATTTGGCTTTAAGTTAAAACTAATATATCTCAACGTAGAGAAAAAAACAGAACACAAGGCTGTAATAGTACTTAACTTGGAAACAAATTCTATGCTCATACCAAACAAATGTATCTTTCATTACTTAAAGTAAAAATGTGAAACTTTCAAAAAAAAAGAAACCTACCTTTGCCCTTTCTTTTGTTAATCTTGGCCATGACTGGCCAGATTCTCCTTTTCGTAAACAACATAAAATTGATCTGTCTGTTCTTTTATGCTTGGAATCCTAAAAACAAAAACAAAAGCACTATCACACCATTTTTCTCTTCAGTATCATTCATTCCTCACCTCTCCTTCTTAATTTCTTTCCCTACATTTCCCCAAACTCTGAAAGAAACATCCCCTAACTACTTAAAACTTCATAAGCTATCCAATCGTATTTAAAAAAAAAAAAAAAATGACAATTTTTTTCTTCCCCGCATAATCATAGAAGAGTTTTTAAAAATTTCCATAGTTAGCCCGGCCAGCGTGGTTGAGCATCGACCTATGAACCAGTAAGTCACGATTCGAATCCAGGCCATATGCACAGATTGCTGGAATCAATCACCGGTATGGGCTGTGCAGGAAGCAGCCAATAAATGATTCTCTCTTATCATTGATGTTTCTATCCTCTCTCTCTCCCTCTTCTTTCCTCTCTGAAATCAATATATATATTTTAAAAATTCTATAGTTAGATAAGACAAGCCTCAAGAGTAGAGCCAAGTCTTAACAGTGAAAATAAGAAAAAAAGAGTATGCAGAAAAGTGGTTGGGAAGGGAAAACAGAAAAGTGGTTAGAAAGGGAAAATATCGCAAAATATAAATATACCTAGTTAGCCCTCTGAACTATTAAGAAAAACAGAAATTAGTGCTTGCTAAAAAGATATGTCCACTTCCTCATGATTTAAATCAGTATTAAAGCATCAAGACTACTTACATTTGGATCAATACAGTGAAAAAGATCAATTTCATTTAAATGTTTAAAATTATCACTTCCTCCAAGACAACTGTGGGGAGAAAAAAATTTTTTTAAATAAGTCCCTTGGAAGAGGTAAGGATTAATATAACCTCAGTGAAAAAACAAAACAAGCAAGCCAAAGTTATTCAATTATCCAAAATAAGTTTTGCCCAATTATGTAAAATGGAAATTTACCTGAATGTAAGTTTGGATTTTTCAAAATTTACATTAACATCTTTACTGTCTTCAACACAAAATTCAATGAAGACATAGTCCCTTCGATCGTACCACTTTGCAGAAGCAGGCTGCCTACAGAGATAAAATTAGACAAAGTTAAGTTGGACTTCATTAGCTAAATATTTACATAACCTCCCAAGTTTAGCATATAAGAAACAAATTTTTCTATTCCATTAGAGCATTGATTATTTTGAGGTAGTTTATTACAATTTCTAACAGAAACTACATTTTTACTCTAACAGCTACATTCCAAGTAAGCACAATGACACTGATTTTATAAAAAAAAAAAAGGGGGCCGAAACCGGTTTGGCTCAGTGGATAGAGCGTCAGCCTGCGGACTGAAAGGTCCCAGGTTCGATCCCGGTCCAGGGCATGTATCTTGGTTGCGGGCACATCCCCAGTAGGAGATGTGCAGGAGGCGGCTGATCGATGTTTCTCTCTCATCGATGTTTCTAACTCTCTATCTCTCTCCCTTCCTCTCTGTAAAAAATCAATAAAATATATTTTTTTAAAAAAAGGGATTTAAAAATAAAATAAACAATGCTCAGTAGAGTTAACCATTTAGGTAGCCCTGTCAACATTTATAAGCCACTCCTTTAGGGTTCTGCTCCTAAAATTCAATTCACAGAAATAAAACATCAGAAAGAACTAATCCACCATCAACTGAGATATATGCAGTATTCAACATTATAACTTACAGTGAATCCTAGGAACTGTGGGAGGAATTTAAAAGAATGAAAAATGGCCTTGGCTGGTGTGGCTCAGTTTGTTGGAACACTGCCCAGTATACCAGAAGGTGGCAGGTTCTACTACCATCAGGGCACAAACCCAGTTTGTGGGTTTGACCCCCAGTTGGGAAGCAACCAATGTTTCTCTCTTACAATGATGTCTCTCTCCTTTCCTCTCTCAAATCAATGAAAAGGGGGAGAGGGGAGTAAGGGAAATGACAGTATTTGTTCTCAAAAAAGTTCTCACCTGTAGCTTTTTTTCTGACCGTATAAAGCAACCATTTTGTTTCTGGACAAACAAATCTTCCTATGATTCTAAATAATGACACTAGATAAAGAATTAAACTTCTTGCCCTAGCTGGTTTGGCTAAGTGGATAGAGTACCAGAGGGTCCTGGGTTCGATTCTAGTCAGAGGCATGTACCTCAGTTGCAGGCTCCTCCCTGGTCCGGGCCCTGGTCAGGGCTCATGCAAGAGGCAACCAATCTATGTGTTTCTCTCACACTGATGTTTGTGTTTTTCCCTCTCTCCCTAAAAGTCAATGGAAAAAATGTCTTCGGGTAAAGATAAACAACAACAACAAGAATTTATTTACAGCCAAAACCGGTTTGGCTCAGTGGATAGAGCGTCGGCCTGCGGACTGAAGGGTCCCGGGTTCGATTCCGGTCAAGGGCATGTACCTGGGTTGCGGGCACATCCCCAGTAGGAGATGTGCAGGAGGCAGCTGATCGATGTTTCTCTCCCATCGATGTTTCTAACTCTCTATCTCTCTCCCTTCCTCTCTGTAAAAAATCAATAAAATATATTAAAAAAAAAAAGAATTTATTTACAGCCTCACCTTTATACTATCTATACATGTATCCAATACATACTAGAAGCAACCTGGAATATTTGCTTCTTCCTTATCATTCATGTGTTCCTGTTCTTTGCAATATAATATTACCCCTGTCTTCATGGAGTCAGCTGTCTAGAGCTCTTTCCATCCATTAGAGTATGGCTAAAAAACCGCTAGAAGCTATATATAGTCAAATATGGCTGATTAACAGTCAAAAAAGATTACCTGTGGCCGTAGCTGGTTTTGCTCAGTGGATAGAGTGTCAGCCTGAGAACTAAAGCAGCGGTCGACAACCTTTTGGGGTCCGTGGACCACCGGTTGGCAACCGCTGGACTAAAAGGTCCCAGGTTCAATTCTGGTCAAGGGCACATGCCCTGGTTGCAGGCTCTGTCTCCAGTAGGGGGCATGCAGGAGACAGCCAATCAATGATTCTCTCTCATCATTGATGTTTCCTTTTTTTTAAAATACATCTTTATTGATTTCAGAGGAAGGGAGAAGGAAAGAGAGACAGAAACATCAATGATGAGAACCATTGATTGGCTGCCTCTTGCACATCCCCTATTGGGGATCAAGCCTGCAACCTAGGCATGTGCCCATGACCAGAATCGGACCTGGACGACCCTCCTTCAGTCCGGCTGACGCTCTGTCCACTGAGCCAAACCAGCGAGGGCATCATTGATGTTTCTATATCTCTCTTCCTCTCTGAAATCAATAAACATATATTTTTTAAAAAAGATTATATGTGATAAATACTTCAACTTTTCTATAAACCTAAGATTATTTCAAAATAAAAGTTTAAAATTCTAGTTATATGTTCAAACACTACTCATAAATCAACTCAACTGAAAGGAATTGTTTTATTTCTAAGCTCTGACATTCCCAACCCAACAAAGTAGTAATTTAAATCCCTTCTATACATAAAAGTTACAACCAACTACTCATCAACATTTTTACACAACTGTTAAATTTTTATTTAAATGTTTTTATTGATTTTTAGATAGAGAGGAAGGGAGGAGAGAGAACCATCAAGAGAGACATAGTTCGGCTGCCTCCTGCATGCCCTACTGTTAAACTTGACTAGTCACTCTACTCTGGAACACTGGTATCAGATCTGAATGATAGAGGTTAAAAATTACAGATGGCAGTTTCCAAAGTCTAAATACCAGCAGATCCGCAAAGGTAAATCTATTTTTTAAGGCATCTATTGGCAAATTAAACAAAATAAAAACATGAACTTTTTAAATGCCTCTAAAAAGGTATCTAACCAAACTTCTGTGGACTAAGGATTCCCAACTTTTTTTTTTTAGAATATGTGCTGCTGGAGTGAACACAAGAATCACAACTTCTAATGTTTGTATATTAATATAGCTAACAAGCAATTTAGTTTTACGAATAGATCACACATTATTTCTAGTTTTTCTTGCCCCAACAGTATTTTCAATATGTGGTAACATGTTGTCATTAACTGAAAATATTTGCAAATTTAATAATTAAACTTTAAGTGACTAGGCTTATAGACTCTCAAATTGAAGTAACCAGATAAGCCCTATTTTTAATATATATTTCATTGATTTTTTATAGAGAGGAAGGGAGAGGGATAGAGAGTTAGAAACATCGATGAAAGAAACATCGATCAGCTGCCTCCTGCACACTCCTTACTGGGCATGTGCCCGCAACAAAGGTACATACCCTTGACCGGAATTAAACCTGGGACCCTTGAGTCTGCAGGCCGACGCTCTATCCATTGAGCCAAACTGGTTAGGGCAAGCCCTATTTTTAAAAAGCACTAATGATAACAATCTGGAGCAATGAACAACCTAGTGCCCCAACTAAAAGAAACCAAGATTCCTACAGAGAAATAACCTCAAGTGGGAAATGCAGATGACCTTGAGACATCTGTATTTGAATGAAAATGAAGCTAGTGAGAACAATGTCAGCCAGACCCGGAGGCAACAATTAAGGTCTATCAAGGTGGCCAAAGACAAAATATGAGCATCAGAATGACTGCAGCCCTGTTGCTTCGTGGTTAGAGCATCATACTTCACACTTTAGGGCAGTGATAGCAAAACTATGACACGCGTGTCAGAGGTGACACGCGAACTCATTTTTTTGGTTGATTTTTCTTTGTTAAATGGCATTTAAATATATAAAATAAATATCAAAAATATAAGTCTTTGTTTTACTATGGTTGCAAATATCAAAAAATTTCTATATGTGACACGGCACCAGAGTTAAGTTAGGGTTTTTCAAAATGCTGACACGCCGAGCTCAAAAGGTTCGCCATCACTGCTTTAGGGTCTTGGGCTTGCTTCCGCCCCCCCTCCCCCCACTGGGGCATCTGCTGGAGGCAATTAAGCATCTCACACCCAAGCTTCTACCCCCCCCCCCAAGCAATGGAAAAAATATCCCCAGGTGAGGGTTAACAACAAAAAAGAACGATTGCAAATTGGTTCAAATACATTGAATATAAAAATGAAGTTCATATTGACGTAAGATGCTACAGCTCCAATTTTTTTTAATAAATTGGCAATTAAAGATAAATAATTAGGCATTTTCCCTCCTTTCGCTTTATGAACCTTTATTATTCATGATAACTGAATAGGACCAGTTCATGAAGGAAACTTCTTTATGGAATTCCACTTTGGTGTGGAATAAAACATGGGGAGGAAAATCACTATTTTGCAGCCCTTAAACTGATTTGGCAGTGATCATCACTGGATGAAACAATTAACAATGACTATATGAACAACTGATAAAGAACTTTAAGATCTTAGCATCACTGAAAGTGAGACAACCAAACATATACTTCCTAATTTTATGCAACATGATACATTCAGCAGTAAACTTAATTTCCATCTACAGAAAATATGAGGAAATAGAACAAGTTAAATGATACCACAAGGAAGCAACATATCTAGAATGTTTCTAGATCAATGGCACAAAGAGGAGGGAAGTGCTCTAGATTAAGAGACCTAAGAGTTATCAAACAAATGCAATTTGTGGCATAGTCTGCATCTTCATTCAATAAACTAAACATAAAAAAGATGAATAAAACTGTGGAGATCTGGATATGAACAGGCGATGTTAGTTTTGCTAGTGTAAATGGCATTGCTTACCTTGTAAATGTCAAATTGTGTATTAAGAATCTATAGTAGCCCTAACCGGTTTGGCTCAGCAGATAGAGCATCATCATCAGCCTGCGGACTCAAGGGTCCCAGGTTCAATTCTGGTCAAGGGCATGTACCTTGGTTGCGGGCACATCCCCAGTAGGGGGCGTGCAAGAGGCAGCTGATCGATGTTTCTCATCGATGTTTCTAACTCTCTATCCCTCTCCCCTCCTCTCTGTAAAAAAATCAATAAAATATATATATATAAAAGAATCTATAGTAATGGAAGAGGAGCACACTAATGGTGACCTGGTTATTAAAATGGCCATATCAAACACCAAGTATGTAAGTTCTTCAGTTTCTATTCACATTAAGGACATTGGGACCAGGGAAGAATCTATTT